GAAATGTAAAATGGCCTTTGAAGCTGCAATAGCATTGACGGCCTCGTGAGCTTGACTCTAAGCCAGGCCTTGACTTTCGATTGTAAGTTATCAGAACGCTGCATGGTCATTCATTAATTCTGAAACCCAAGAGAAGCCGTTATCCCTCTAGGTTATATAGAATTAATAGCTTAATAGTGCAGCTTTTAGCAGATTATCTCTTACTTTTATGTAACTATACTTGCCAAATACTCTACCTGAATTTCAACGTCATGGAACTGTAATACTTCGAAAGATTTAGGCATTTACAATATGATTTCACAGTATTGTAGTAGTGTAGCATGCATCGAATGTAGTTAAAAGCATAGAATTCAGCTTGTGAAAAGTTTTATTTTGTTCTGTTTCACGCCTTTTAAAATAAACAAATGTCTGGATTCGCTATGATGTTGAATGTAGCTTGGGGTTGGTGAAGGGCCCGTTTGTTCTGTTTCACTTGCTGCCATTCTGGCTCGGCTGGGAAGATGAGTATTGGCGCAATTCCCACTGCGATGATTCCTCCATCAGCTACCGGTGTACCTGGGCATACGGCTGGTATGCCGTCCACGGCCCCTATCTTGCCTCCAAATCACACCATCTACATCAACAACCTTAATGAGAAGATTAAAACGGATGAGCTAAAGAAGTCCCTTTATGCCGTTTTTGTTCAGTTTGGACAGATCCTTGACATCATCACGGGTAATTTAACCCTGGACTATTAAGAGTTTGACTCGTTTTTGGCTTTTTATTTGGGAGATAACTTGGTGTTCTTTGTAGGTAAGTCTGTGAAGATGCGAGGTCAAGCATTTGTTGTCTTTTCTGAAATCAGCTCTGCTCGCAGCGCTCTGGAGGCCATGCGTGGGTTTCCACTCTATGAGAAGCCTATGTGCATAAATTTTGCTCGCACCACCTCTGACATTATCGCAAAACGTGAAGGGACCTACGTTGAGCGTCCCAAGCGTCAACCACCGCCACCTCCACTTCCACCACCATCACAACAACAGAATACAACAATAGATGCAGCTGCACTGATTGGCGGTGGTAGTGCACGTGCTATTCGCCGTCGGCAACAGCGTCTCGCTGCTGCTCAGGCTGCTGCTTTGGCAGCAGAAAACGGGGGTTCAACCACTGGTGGATCTTCGACATCACCTCAGCCATCATCAACGGCCGTATCGCAGTCTCATCCACCGCCTATAAATCCGGCCACTATTCCTGATCAGCCGCCGAACAAAATCCTCTTCCTTACTAACCTTCCAGAGGACGCCAATGAAGCCATGCTGGGCATGCTTTTCGCACCATTTGTTGGTTTTCGGGAAATTAGAATGGTTCCTTCCCGTCACGACATCGCCTTTGTGGAGTTCTCAAGCGAAACTGAAGCCGCTACTGCTAAACATGGTCTTCAGGGCTTCAATATTCGTCCGGGTCATCCACTGCGAATCACTTTTGCAAAAAAATGATGGTTGTTCAGTATCTGGTCCAGTTTCATTATTAATAAAGTGCTCCTTCAGTATTTCTCGTGCTCTGCTTTCGTTTGAACCTTATGTTCTGCTTTGCGAATCACTACTTTCATCATTTTTAAGGTTATGGACATCCGACCAAATCATACGCTCTACGTAAACAATCTAAACGATAAGTTGAAGAAGGCGGACCTAAAGAGGGCTCTTTACTACCTATTCTCGCCTTATGGACGTGTTCTAGAGATAATTGCAATGAAGACACCAAAGATGCGGGGTCAGGCTTTTATCATCTTCCAAGCCATCACTTCGGCTACGACGGCACTGAGGGTACTTCAAGGATTTCAACTTTTTGACAAGGTGATTTGAGTCCCTTTATCCAAGCCTTTACTCTAGGTCGGGTCGACTTCTGGTACCATTTCAAGTTTCGCAAATTTCATGAAATGGTTTTGAGCGATTCGAAGGTTATTTAATGTTTTTCTCAAATTTCTCATTGTACCCGTTTAGCGGATAGAACATCTCTATGGGCTTGGCCAACTAAATCACTAGTCTGGTTTTCAGTTGGGTAACGAGTGATTTCAAGCATAATTTACAACGTTAGTGCAAAGAGCTGAATTATAGTGTTTTTGTCGTCCATGTATTTCATGAAAGCTGTCTCCAAGTTTGGCAGTTGAAGCTATTGAATACCTTTTTGAGGACCTGGTGATTTGTCAATTTTTTTATTATCTTATAAGTTTTGTTTAACAGTGAAGGCAGTAATTATTATCGGAGAATCTGGTCATTATGGTGGCACTTTAAGGTCTCTTAGAATTAGAATTATTTACTGCCTTTGTTTGCATTTGTTAATTGCTCTCGGATCTCATTCAACTACTCTTACTCGAATCGCAAAGCTGTTGCATGTGAAACAACTTAGTTTAGAATGGTAAACTTCATATGCTTAAAATAAAGACCATTTCCTTGTTTCCTGAGTCACTTTGTTATTCGTTATCTATCCACACTTCTTACTCATCTTTCCCTCTCTACGCAGCCAATGCGGATCCAATACGCACGGAAGAACTCGACGCAGATTGAGGTGTTGCAAGGTGTAAACGCAGAGACGCAGAAGAAGAAAGAGGAGGAGAGGGAGAAACGACGTCGAAGGAAGTTGGCTCAGCGGCAGGCTGCTGCTGCTGCTGCCGCCGCTGCTGCTGGTGGTGCTGGTGCTGTTGTCAACGGACAAGCAGGTGTATGTCACTCAATCAGAATTCATTTATTTAAGATGACCTACTTTTTTGCTCAAAATTGCAATTTTATGAGGCTTCACTTTGGTGTGCTTTTTGTTCACACCGTATCTTGTTTTGTATGGTGTTATTGGAGTACGGTAGCTGACTTAAGTGAATCAAATGTGACTTCGAGCCCTTCCAGCATCATTCTGCACGAGTTACATTCTTGGCTACGTAATGCACCGTAAAGAGTCTGTGTTAAGAATGCTGTTTCATCCCTACCATGCGGTTACATTTGGGTCGCAGTATTGAAATAGGGCTGTAGTTGTTGCGCAGGTTGAAGAACGATCGCGTTACTGAGGCATAAAAGTGAAATGCTTACGATGTAAGTTTCAACATAGTCTCGACCCTTTTCCTGACAACTTTTTTTTCGATGTCCTGCTATTTGAGGGGTTGGGACGTTTCCAGGATGCCTCATCGACAAGCTACCTAGTGGTCAGGGAATTTGCTTTTCAGGTTGATGGTGAAGTCGACACCGAGCCACCGAATCGCGTACTCTTTGTTAGCAACCTACCCGAGGAGACCACTGATGCAATGTTGACGATGCTCTTCAACCAGTTCAGTGGCTTCAAGGAGGCTCGTCGAGCCGTAGGTGGCATCGGTTTTGTGGAGTACGAGACGGAGGCCCAGGCGACGGCCGCTAAGGTGACCTACCATGGCTTCAAATTGACGCGTACTCATGCCATCAGCGTCACTTATGCCAAGCACTGATGTTGGTCCATTATTGGGTTGTAATAACCTTGCCTTTGTGTACAGTCCTGTGTATGAATTCTTATGTTATAAAGGGCTCCCTTTCCTACTCTGATTGTGGCACTTGCATATATTTTCAGTTGCTGCCCCGCCAACAAACTCTTGATGAGGTCGCTAAGTGTTGGGTTTCGTCGAGTTTCCTGCTAACGAGCTCGAATGCATCATATTCCATCTTGTGGATGGTGCGGTGACGGCCAACACGGTAGCGTAACATTTGAATGCCGTAGG